GGTGATAACAGCAATAACAACGGCAACGGCGACGGCGACAACAAGAACGGCACCTTCCCGACCGCCATCGTCATCGGCTCCCTCTGCGGCCTCCTCGTAGGCGTAGGCCTCGGCGTCGCCCTCCTCCTCTTCTGCGCCCGCCGTCGCCGCCGCGGCCCGCCTCCACTCAGCGAGAAGAAACGCGGCGGTAGCGGTGGCCCTCGCCCGTCGACGTCGACCTCGTCCTTTGGGAACATCATCTCGGAACCCATCCCCATCACGGATAACGCCACCGTGCGGACGGACTTTATTCTAAAGACCCCGTCCACGACTCACTCCCGCTCGCGAAGCGACTCCGGCTTCGTCACCTCGCCGGCGGGGTCCACCCCCAACAAGGGCCACAACCGCCTCTCCTCGACGGCGACGACGCTGGCGCACCACCCCATCGGTCTCGCGCGCAGCGACTCCGCCCCTCGGACGCCGCCCGGGAGGGGGGGAATCGGGGTAGGAGTAGGGGGAGGCACCGGGGCCGTCGCTCCCATCAGGGGTATGCGTCCCAACTCCGGGTCCAGGCGGCTCCAGCCGCCCAACGTGCCGAACCCGCTCGCGCCGCCGAAGCCGGGGTACATCAACAGCAGCAGTAACCAATCCCACCTCCAGCGCGAGCCGAGCAGCGAGAGCATCAGCGTGTTTGCGGACCCGCGGACGGTGGGCGGGCGGCCTGGGGTGAAGAGGAACACGACGTTTACGGATATGATGGAGGAGGCGGAGCTCGGTGACGTGCGGAGGGGGAAGCCGTATGTGCCGTATACGCCGCAGATGCCGTCGCAGCCTGGTCGATGATTTTTCTTTTGTCTGGAGGGGGGGGGGGGTTGACGAGGTTGGATGTTGAGTGTGGCTTTCTTGATGATATTGAAGTTTTTTGTAATGTCGGCATATTTGCTCCTTCGTTTCTTCTTCCCCTGTTTCCTTTCCCCGCTCTTTTCATATTTTAGAGAAACATAAAACATGCTGGACATGAAGACGGTGGTTTGGGGAAGGGTGTGAGCCTGGTAGACATTCGCTTACCTCGTGGCAGTGGCAAAAGGGGCGTTTCGTGTTTTCTTCTTCTTCTTTTTTGGTGTCTTCTGGACAGGATTATATACCCACGGTCGCTTTACTTGTCTTTGATTGTTGGTGTAGGTCGAGTTATATAGTTTGATTACTTGAGGCCCAAGTGACGCCTGAGTAGGGAGAGGATATATATACATATATATTTTGTTTGCACGGATATCTGTGACAAAGTTCACCCGTGACGAGACTTTCTTGAGACATTTTATGCTGTTTTGTATGGTCCATGTTAAGTGAAATGCAAGTAGATGTTGGCTGCAAATGGTTCTGGTACTCGTCTCGAAAGTGTAAGAATAAGTCGGCGATGAAAAACATCAACATAGGCAATCATGTCCGATATCTGACAAACGAGAGCGACGCAGAAGCTCTGTGAAATGATTTGCCGTAATGGCCAAGTGTCAGTAGGGTAAGGTAGCCAGGCGCCACTTCACGCCCACCAAAACTTCGTACCATACCTTCCTCAATGAGAAACCACCCAAACTACCCAAAACTACGGTCAAAACACTACCACCAACACCGAACATATCCATTTCGAAACGCATCACCAATCTCAAATCAAGTACCTTAGTAACAAACAAATCAACCGTACGCAACAAAACTAAAACAATCAGTAGAAGAAAACGTCTAAAAGTTCGGGCACAGTCGACCATCGGGATGTCCGACACCCGGGGTTGGACCCGCGATGCTGGCAATCGATGGAGGATCTGCAATCCTAGGAAAACCCCCCCACTTTTTCCCTGGGGAGTTTTCTTTCAGGTGTTTAACCACTCGACCACAGTGGCTCTGGGCGTCCCCTGGGATTCGAGAGCATCAAGAGAACTGTGAGTGATTAGAGGTATGGGCCTGGTGGGCGGCGTGAGAGGTATGACGTGTGGCTTGTGACCTTGGGAGGATGAGTTGGGATGAAAGGGTGTTTTTGAATGTGAGGCTTGGAGGGCTTTGTGTTCTGAGGCTACCGCGAGAATGAGTGAAAGGGTTGTCGTCAGAGGTGACCGGTCATAGAGGCGAGTAAATGGTCAAACTCTTGGAACGTGATGACCTCATGCGTCCTCGATCTCACGTCGTAGTGCCAAATATGGTTATTAGTGACAAGAGCAAGAGACTGAGATTTTTGGTATTTCCTACATCGTGTCCTAACTGGAGATGGTCGTCAACGAGAATCTCGAAACCCAAGTTGTCATGATTTACACACTTTACCGTGTCGTGATCAGTCTTCCATCTCCCTTCAGATAGATATGCCGAGTCCACGATGATCACGAACCTATAGGATGTCCAGATAGAATGCTTGTAGGTTTTACCATAAGGAACGGCCACTACTTTACCTTTAGTGAGTCCCAAAATACGGACCTGCTTCTGTCTCGTTCAAGCTGCCCAGTGTTTGGTACTATAGCAAGAGTCAGGGATTTCGCCAGCATGCATACGAATAGATGGAAGGGGGTAAACCGGTGTTGCTCAAATAGCTCAACTCATCTCGTCTGATTGGTGTTCGCTGCCCTCCCTCTTCCACACGGGCGACCTTGCTTTTCTCTACAGAGTAGTGACATAATCTTTGGATTGCGGACAACAATAAGAAGTCTAAGTAAGGTAGTACAGGAATAGTACATTGTTATTCTGCAACAAAACCCCCTATCTTCTGTATATGCAGCGGTTTTCTATTCTTACAGCTTCCTCTTTTGCTTTTTGATAATTCCTACATTTGATGCGCCAGCCTGTCCCCCTCGACTACTATCCACACAAAGACTTGCGCTGTTGGAGTTGGGAGATCTGCCAGGGTTTCTCACCCCTCTCTCCCAATCCTCTTCCGCCAGGTTTGGTTCAGGCTCTGCTGTGGGCAACTGAAACTCGTGTAGCAATCGTTTCCCAACCCAACCAGACCCTATTTCACCAACCTTTGAGGACCCCCCACACGAGTCATCATATTGCCCCCCCTTCTTTTTCTTCGTTTACCGCATGAACTGTGGCCGGGAAGGAATGTCCGCCGCGAGGTTGACGGCCTCCCAGTCAATAACCTCCCACCACGCCTCAGCAAACGCCTTCTTACCGCCGCGGCCGCCGACACCGAGCCCATAGTCACGGATCCATGTGTGCTCCCATGTGTTGAGGCACAAGAGCGGTACGGCGTCCAGTGCGCCAGGCGGCTTCGTTCCCGGTCTCTGGGCCGCGGCGCTGCGCTGGAAGTACTTGTTGGCGGAGCCGCCCAGGCCGACGGTGTTCATGTCGGTGCTCTGGAGGCGCCAGTGGGCGCCCGGGTAAGGGGATCCCGCGAGGTAAGTCGTGAGGATGCGGTAGTCTTGGTGGCCTGCCTTGACGAGCCAGACGAAGCCCGGGCCGAACATGGAGGAGGCGGTGAGGATCATTTCGCGGCGGAGGGTGTCGATGGAGGAGAAGGAGTGGGAGAGCTCGGCGGCGAGGGATTCGGGCATGGGTTTCGGGTTCGGGGTGATGTTCTTGAAGAAGAAGTGGGTGTTGTGCGCCATGGAGGCGTTGTTGAAGACGGGGGCTTGGGAGGGGTCCTGGGCTGAGGCGAGGAGGATTTGTTTGACGTCGCGCTGTTCGAGGTCGGTGCCTGTGTTTGTTGTGAATCAGCATTGGTTACCTCTGGTTGGTTTTTTGTGTCATATTGTAGGCAATTGGAACGGTTCGAGGTTGTCATGCGACGGGAGCTAGGATCGCCAAGTCAGGGGATAGGGAACAGCGTAGACTGACCTGCAATCAAGGCATTGAGCTTGTCAAGGACAAGCGTCATGTACTGGTTCCACGCCATGTCGTAGCCGTCAGCTGACAGCAGGCCCGGGACGCCGTCCTTGAAGTCGTGGGAGAGCTGGGGGACGTAGTGTATCGAGCGCTGCTGAAGAGGTCTGGCCGGGGCTGCCCTGGCGGCGGCGGCAATGCCCGCCCCGATGCGCGGTAGCCTTAATCGTGAGAACATTGTTGTGGTGTGTGTGTATTGGAGTCCTCTGTCGACGGTCGCCGGTGGAGTTGGGAGAGGAAGTCGTTATGGGGTGGCGCGTGGGAGGGAGGTTTCGCCGACGAAAGGGAAAGCTGTAGGCCGGGAGCTTCGACGATGGTGAACTTTTTTTGGGACGGCTGTTCCCGCGTGTCCAATTGGCGCGTTCGTTTGTGGCCTGATGATTGAGGCGCAAAGACGTTCCGAACTTTTTATGGGGTCATTTTCGGGGTGGATCCATGGGCCGGGGAGCATTTCGTGATGGCTTCAACTTCCAAGATGTAGATTTCAAGTTGCACGGCATGAAGCCTCATGAGGAGCATCATCCGAGGAATTCAAAGAAAAACTACAGACATGTGTTCCGTTCTCTTCTAGCTGACCAGATTGGGAGATTCGGCGACCAGCCCCTGCCCAGGCTCGCGGATGATTCGGTTCTTGGCCGTGAATGCCCCAACATCAACTACAACCCAATCTTCAATCCAGCAATGCCATCGTCATCCCGCCTATCCTTCCAGCCTCGAAGTATCAATCTCTCACGAACAATATTTGAGAATAGGCGTATCAACCTGACTGCTAACCTCAGCGCCTATGGCTCAAACCTGGTTCCCGCTCATATTGGCTGCGTAATTGCCAGCGCGCCCACTACATATTTCTAAGATAGAGAAGAAAATGAGCTTTAAAAACATCTCATAGCAAAGATATACGGTTCGCTTGATCGTTGATTAAAGACTGGATTTTTAATCTGTAATACAGATATCCGAAAACTAACTCATTGGTAAGCAATGAGTACAGGGGTGTTTCCTATTTAATTCAAGAAATGTGGAAGAGAATAACGATTACGCCGTTTCTCTTGTAACAATTGACGTTATTGATTACACGCTTCAAATTCATGCACATCATGTCAGCTCAACATATAATTCTAGCCATATGCTGATTGGCAAACCCTCCTTGGTCAACATTGCACTTAATGAACTGCCGTTTCTCTCTCATCTGCCACGAACCTCCAGTATCTTTCGGCGGAAAATCTTCTCAATGCCTTGCCCCATTTGATCATGGGGAGAAAGGAGCAAGTGCACACTAGCGATATCATGGCTACTGATATGAAGCAATTTTGGAGACCAGAAGCCTCAATCCATGGTGTGATCGCATAGCTAAATGCGAAGGCCAATGTGTTCCGGATAATGATGATTGCAACGAATGACTCGCCGGCAATCTCCTTGAAGCAGTCCACAGCATACGAGAGCGAAATAGCGCTGGCACAGACGACACCGAAGGTCGTGATACCAATTCCCACGATCAGGACCATGAAGTGCGCATTCCGGCTGGCACCAACTCCCCATATAAGGAGTCCTCCAGAGGACATAACCGCTGAGACGGCGAGGCCCCACAGCCTATGCTCTGGCTCACGTATGCCGTCGTTGCGTCTTGCCAATCTCATTGTCAGCACGTCGGAAAACTTTCCAGCCCAGACAGCGGCGACACCACCGAAGACAAGAGGCGACAGGTAGGCAACGCCCACCAGGGTCGGGGAGAAGCTGTAGGGCGCCTCGCCGAGGATCATGGACATGGTGGCATTGATGACACTGTACCAGGCGATGTTCGTGCCGTAGAGTAGACCGGCCCAAAGAATATTGGGGAATAAAGCGATAATCTTGAGAGACCTCCATGTCTTGAGAATAGTCTGTTTTCGACTGGGGCGACCGGGTAGTCTGGTGACAAGGGAGAGCTTCTGCAGAAAGGTTCTCTTTTCCCGCATGGGTATCGAATCCTGCACCTGGTCCAGGATGGGCGGACGTTTCGTATCGAGATCGTTTCTTGCGTCCTTTTTCACTATTTCGGTTGAGTTCTCGTCGCTCGAGATAGGGTCCAGGCCTTCGATGGTGTTCCGGAAAAAAATGGTTTCCTCGGTGAACAAGAACAGGATAATCGAGCAAACACCTAGCACGATGGTTGCGAAATACATGACCCAACGCCAACCTGCTCCATCTGCAATGAATCCGGAAAAGAACGGCGCAAGAAAGTTGGAGCCGAACAAGATGAAAGTATACAAGGCCATGTACCTTCCACGTTCGTGGGCGAAGAATATGTCTGGTACGGACACTTCCGGCAGCGACTCGACCGGAGAACAGAATATTCCTAGTAGTATGCGGTGGGCATACCACTGTGAAGCACCAAAGGATAATGGGGTCCATATCACGGGAGCAATAGACAGCATCGCGGTGGTGATATAAACGCCCCTGCGGCCGTAAGTCATGGCGAATGGTTGCCACAAGAGGCAACCCCATCCTTGCATAAGCTGCATGAGACCTGTGCCCGTGTTGAGTTGGGCGAAGCTGAGATTTTGGGATGCGGAGATTTGTGTCAAGATGGACGCGTGGACGGATGTCGCGATGCCGATTGCAAAAGTGTATAGATATACCATGCCAATGGCAAGGTATTTCCTCTTCGCAGTCCAGTTGAGAGGATCCTCGGGATCGGAGCTCGGCTTCGGTTGCAAGATGATGTCGCCATTGTGTGTCTGGCGATTGCCTGTAGAAGAGGCGGCATCGTAGAGAAGAATGGTGCCTGGTGTGTCATCGTGAGGGATTTGTTGATCCATGGTTGAGGGAAATGAGTTGGCTCAGGTTCAATGTGAAATACCGAGTTTATGGGACGGAAAGCTTCAAGGTATGTAGCAAGCAAAACCGTGTCCGCTTGAAGTTAAATAAGTCTCAACGCCAACGACCTGGTGTAAGAAGCAGCATTATCTCCCCAGATGTCTTAGTCCATTTAGCCTTTCCCTCATGCCAGTAACGGTAATTTCCAGTGATGTGTGTACATAGAGGAAGGGAACAGACTGCTGCAGGGATCACGCTGCCTTACAAAAGTACAAAAGCACGGAGTAACGTTTGTAAGAAAAAGGAAGTAGTGGTGTTATTACCTTTTTAGGCTATTAGGTTACTTCCTATTTAGGAATTAAATCACCGCGATAACGCTAGTTGGACCTTCACTTTCCTAGGCGTCTGCGACGTAATCTTTCCATTTATGATGGCGTAGATACAGCACCCATCATTGTAATAGCCACTTCTAGACGGCAGCACAGAAGGCCACGAGGTTTCACCCTCGGCTATGAACAAAACGGGACTTTGGCGCACGGAACGCGGTCAAATTGTAAGCCAAAGTTGTAACGATTGATCAGGAAATCGAACGCGGTAGCGCTACTCAAAAGTAATTATTGCCCGCCCTTGAAGGAGTGATTGAGCAGTTAACATTCCCGCTCGCGATTGTCCAGACGCCGAAACGACACTGGAGCCCATCCTAGTCCTCATCTCACATCAGTATGATTTCCACTGCAGCAAATCTCAAAGAGCCGACGCAGCGAGGATTACCGTCCCAGGAGGAGGAAATCATCGGCTACGTCGATCCTTGGATTGCCTCGCCTGGCGAAAATGTTCATGTCAAGGTTAGTCCCACCAGACCCCATGGAGGCAAGATGAAGGGAAACCCAGTGCTAAAAACACCAGGTCTCGAGTACAGTCCCGGAATTCACGTGGTCGTTGGCGCGAATCATCCAAGGCTTTGAGCATCCCAACGCTCCAGATATCCAGTACGAGGCGGTATCGACCCTAAATTCCAGCTCGGCGGCACTTCCTGGGTCGCACAAGAAGGCTGCATGCGGGTCCTTTGCTTTGGTCAAGTCGTGGGCGCGATACGGGCGGAAAAGCATCATCGGTCTGCGCTTCAGCTGCTACGTCCAGCCATGGCTACCGGATGCGGGCCGCCAACAAGCATTGATGTCCACCTTGGACGTAGAAAACTTCTCTGGAGTTGCTGTTTATGTCAATGACTCTGGGGCGCTCAGCGTCTACGTCGGAACGGGGGCTTCAGTCGAGCAATACGAGAGCGAGATTCGTCTTCGGCGTTGGAAATGGGCTGAGCTGCATCTTTCTGTCTCGCAAAGGGATCTTTGCATAGATGTTACGCACTTGGAAAGACTCACTGAGGTTGCTCCTGGCCCATCTCAGTACTCCCGGGTATTGGATTTGCCTGTATTCCTTCACGGGAAGAAGCCTCTGACACTGGCTGCTGGATTCTTCTCCGACGGCACAAGTCCCACAGCTCACGCGGCAAATGTCTTCAACGGCCGCCTAGACTCTCCGCACATACAAATCGCCCACAACGGAGCAACCTACACCACCTGGGCCAAGTTCGACTTTACCTTGGATATGTCAAGCGACCGCATCATAGATATCTCAGGTAATGCAAACCATGGGGATCTGATCAATGCCCCTACAAGGGCAGTCAAAGGGTTCAACTGGGATGGCTCAGAGCCAGACTGGACAAAAGCTCAATACGGTTACGGCGCTATCCACTTCCACGACGATGACCTTGATGATGCGGCTTGGGCCACGGACTTCACCTTCAAGGTCCCCACGGACGCGCTCTCAGGCGCTTATGCAGTTATCGTGCGATCCGCCGATCATTCTGAAGACATTTCGGACCATATCACATTTTTCGTACGCCCTGCTGCCACCAACACTGCGGACATTACGGGTCCTAAAGTAGCCATCGTATTATCTACGTTCACATATCTCGCCTACGCAAACGAGCACATGTACGACCAGAGTCGGGCTTCTCGAATGACCCTCGCTGGCGGGGTACGAGTGCGGGAAGATGCTTTATGGCGCCGTATGGCACGACGGACGGACTTGGGTTGCTCGCTATATGATGTCCACAACGATGGCTCTGGCTGTGTCTTTAGCACCGCCAAGCGACCGATTCTCAACATTCGTCCAGGCTATGTCAACTGGGCATTCCATCGTCCCCGCGAGTTCAGTGCCGACCAGCTTATGATTGGCTTCTTGGAGGGGAAGCTTGGTCGTGGTGGGTACGATGTCCTCACAGACCACGATCTTCATGCTCAGGGCGTCGCTGCTCTCCAACGATACAAAGTCGTGGTGACAGGGTGTCACCCGGAGTACCCATCTTTGGAGGTGCTCAATGCTTATGCCGCATTTGCCAGAACGGGAGGGCATCTCATGTATCTGGGAGGGAATGGCTTCTATTGGTGTTCGGTGCTGGATACTCATCGACCACACCGTCTCGAGGTCCGCAAAGGAGACCAGGGATGTCGTTCAATCGAACTGCCTGCCGGAGAGCGAATCCACTCTCTGAACGGTGCTCAGGGCGGGCTTTGGAGAAGCAGAGGCCGGGCTCCTCAGTCTCTCTTTGGAGTGGGCAGCTGCGCTTGTGGTAGCGGAGCTGGTGTTCCCTACCGTTTTACCGACCATGTCACGAAGTGTAAGGACTCAACTTGGGCGTGGCTCTTGGAGGGTCTAGAATCAGAGACTTATGACGAGGGAGAAGACGCAATGGATGGCTTTGTCATTGGCACCAGGGGCTTCGGCGGTGGAGCGTCTGGTGACGAAATTGACCGGTTGGATGTTCGCCTGGGCACACCCGTTAACACAGTTCTCTTGGCAACTAGTACAGGACACGATGACTCTTTCGGCGTCTTCAACGAGGAGATGATGTTTCCGATGGTTGATACCGTTGGTACAAAGTGCGACAAGGTGAGGAGTGACATGATCCTGTACGAGGCTTGCGGCGGCGGTAGCGTTTTTAGCGTCGGAAGCATCAATTGGTACTGTTCGCTGGGTTGGGACAAGTATCAAAATAATGTGGCTAGGCTTACATGGAACGTGTTGAGGGAATTCATGCGTAGAGGAGAGTAGAAGTTTGGTTGTCGAGGACAACGATTCCCAGTCTCACTGGGGTATTAAGCAGGTTTTCCTCCGCGCTTCAGCCACATTGATAAGACCGGCGATGGGTTCCGGCTGGTGCAGTGCCAATCAACACCGGTGATCCCAGTTGCCAGCCACTGCCTGCGGGCACAAATAGGAAATCAAGCCCACCCTTTCCAACAACTGTAGACTACCATTCTGCCTGAACACCCGCACTTCCCACATCCTGCTGGCTGCATCGTCTCTCCAATTACAATACTAACAAATCAGCCATGTCACAAGTCAAAGCATCTCGCGAGTTCAAGTTTTTTGGTGCTTACAGTCGAAAGAGACGTCGTCGAAACGGCGATATACTTATAACGGAACCGGGATGTTCTGTCGGTGCGGCCGCGGACCCGCAAGCATCACACGAGTCTACAATGCGACCAGCGATTGTCGTAGAAAGCCCTCACGCTGCCGATGAAGGAGAACTGCACAGGGTAGAGTTGACCGGAATGGATTGTTCTGCAGCGACTCAGCCTGCCGATATGCCACCTCTTCCTGTGTCACCTGCACGAATATCCCAACCGCAAACGAATTCCGTCCACGAAGACGCTGACACCGGTTCCCTCAATGATGTCCCACGAGACGATGCTGATTGGCCCTTTTCGAGATTGATGAACCCGTTTCTAGAAGCGGACCCGTTGTTCATGGCCTCACTAGATCAACCCGACCACCATCTTCACCTTCAATTTGGAACGGACATGCCAGCATTGCAACTTGACGACACATTATCCAGCAACTTACCAGTAGACGACATTTTAACCAAAGAAGCTCATAGATCAGACAACGAAAAATCATCAAATTCTGTAGTGCCCGATGAAGTTGTGCTACCATCAATTAGCGCAAGAGAGGCACCGTCCAACATCACGTCGACGATAACGCAGCTGCTATCAAGATGTGCGTGAGAAGTTTTTCACCTTTTCCATATCTTTTGTTCTGACAAAAAACTAGATGATCGAGAGTTTTGTATCATGCCTCTGACATGCGACTTCGACGCCAACCCGTTCCGTTCTGACCCGGAATACGGACAGAACTCACAGCTTCTCCATCACTGCATTCTAGCACTGTCGTACAAGCACATTAATAGGGATACGGGAAGCTGCGAGGCAGAAGCTAGACTGCATAAGAAGACGGCTCTTCGGATGCTGAAGGATATGGAGGGAGCGTCAAGATCGTCGATAGGTACACCTTCATGGGAGGCAACCTTCCTGGATGCAATATTGATCCTCATGACATTGGATGTAGGCGAACTTGCTCATACATTCCCAAGTTCGATTTGTATACGCGTCCCATACTAACAAGGGACCCAGTGCGCGACTTCAGCGCGGGGGCCATGGGCCTGGTACCTCAAGCGCGCGTATAAGATGATGCAAGATATGGAATACTTGAATGGTCCAAAGACTCCACGGATGCAGGCGCGAATAGAAATACTTGTCTGGTAAGTGGAATAATGAAAATGTACTATAATATGACGCTGATTCTCTGATTCTTCCAGGTGGGATGTCACCCTCGCCCTTACGACACGCCAAGGATGCGTACTTTCGGAGTCCACGATGACCAACCTGTTAGATCGTGATGAAGCCAGCATGCAGACCTTCTACAGTGTTTCTGGCTGTCCCGAGTTCCTCTTTCGACGCATGATCCGTCTTGGGTCTTATGCAAGGGAGTATGAGCTCGTAGCACGCATGACGTGCGCGAGGTTTGACCTTGGCCCTGTTCTCCTTTTGGAAAAGGAAATAAGGCAATGGTCAGATCTTGAGTACGAAAGCCCATCCAACCATCAAGACTTTGATTCTTTGCATCAGGATCCGGGTGCTGATGATCAAGCCCACTATAAAGAAGATTTGCATCACTGTGCTGAAGCTTGGCGGTGGGGTCTTCTTATTTACATCGTTCGAGTGTTCAGATGGGAGCGCAACAAGCCCGCGCCTACAATTCTTGATTTCCTCGCACGGAAAACTCTCAACCATGTGTCGTCTTGTCGATCCACATCGATGGTTCAGAAACAATTACTCCTCCCAGTATTTCTTGCTGGCTGTGAGACAACAGACGAGCATTTACGGCAAATCGCTCAGTCGTATTGTAGCTGGTGGAACGAGTGGACAAGATATGATATGTTTCTCACGGCCAGCGCCTTATTGGAAGAAATCTGGAAGACTGGAGATTCTCAGGTGTGGTGGGGTTCTGTCATTGACGAGAAAAATGTGTCTAATCATAGCAATCACCAATTCTTGTTTGGCTAGTCACGAATACAAGCACTTGCAAAGCCATACGCCCTGATCCAGGTTACAGTTCATAGCGTTCGCAAGTAGGTATGTTGGTAAATTGAAACGTCAATCGACGATACTTCATTTGGGGAAGGTCTTTGGGTAACTGGAGTATCGACGCCCGTAATCGTACATGTGGTCTGTAGCTGCCCCTGCGGTCGAACTTGAAACAATTCCTTGTGAATCCGCCAAACGCCGTCGTATCCTACGGAGAAGACATTATGTTCAAGCAAGCTTGCCGCTCTTTCGAAGAAGCCGGATATCGGTATTTGACGGGAATTTTGCTGATGGTGATGTCTCCAGTCTAAGATAAGAGGGCAAATCCTCACTTTGTCACGCCGCCTCCATCGCTACTATTAATTCAAGGGAGGAGGCAAGTTACTCACTATGGCAGGCCGAATAGCCAGCGGGCTTGAGGCATCGTGATTTTCCACGCGGCACTATATTGTCAATGAATGACGACTAAATTGGCAAGGTCTTCAAGTTATGCCGGTAGCGGCAACGACTACGACCGTGACGAGCACCAATTGTGCTTCCGTGGCTCGAGTTGGCTTATGCTTTTCAATGGGGGAACACTTCTCCCTTGGCAAAATTCTTTGGGGAAGGATTGCCCCAGGCTGACAGAGTTTCATTGCGTGTGTACATCTTGCAAGCATCACGTTGATAGGATCAGGAAAGCGGCCCCTTGTCGTTTTAGTTCACCGCATCCGATAGGCAACAGGCCTTGCCGGCAGGTACACAGAGCTTTTCCACTGTCCGTCTTGAGCGGGGGAGGTTTACTTCCTATTATGGTAATAAGACACTGGATGCATAGGCCAGTTGCTCAACTGTGGGACTTTCCCCATGATAACAAAAGTAACACAAGATATGCTTACCACCCGAAAGGGAAATAAGGATAACATCGGCGCTTTCTGGTACCATCGCCGCCTATCCTTACGCCTACACAATGGAGCATGTCAGTCCGATGTGCGGAAGCTGTATGCGTCTACTTAAGCAAGGTGCTTGATAAACGTCTGGTAAAGATAGTCAAGCATCATCAACAAGTCATCTATTCCTCGTCATATTTGGCACTAGGGTATTTCTAGATTTCAACAAGCCCAGACACGCCAACCACCCTCGTCATGTCCACCATGGACAAAATCTTTGCCGGCTATGCCGAGCGCCAAACTGCCCTCGAAGCGACGCAAGCCGAGAATTCGTTTGCCCGAGGCATCGCTTGGGTGCAAGGTCAATTGGTACCTCTACACGAAGCGCGAATTCCTTTACTCGACCAAGGCTTCATGCATAGCGATCTGACATACGACGTCCCCTCCGTCTGGGATGGTCGGTTCTTTCGGCTCGACGACCACCTCGACCGTCTTGAAGTCAGCTGCCAGAAGATGCGACTGAAGATACCCATGCCACGTGACGAGGTTAAACGGACACTTATCGATATGGTCGCCAAGAGTGGCATCCGGGATGCCTTTGTCGAGCTTATCGTCACCCGAGGCTTGACTGGTGTCCGGGGCAGCCGGCCCGAGGAGCTCCTCAATAACAGCCTCTACATGTTTGTTCAACCTTATGTCTGGGTCATGGAACCCAGTATCCAATATGATGGTGGCTCTTCTATTGTCGCCCGAAGCGTACGTCGGGTCCCGCCGGGGGCAATTGACCCCACGATCAAGAACCTACAATGGGGCGACCTTGTCCGTGGCTTGTTCGAAGCCCACGATCGTGGAGCAACATACCCATTCCTTACCGACGGAGACGCAAATCTCACGGAAGGATCAGGGTTCAACGTCATTATCGTGAAAGACAACACCCTCTATACTCCCGATCGCGGAGTTCTCCAGGGTATCACCAGAAAGAGCGTGATCGATGCGGCCAAGAGACTTGGTTACGTGATTCGAGTGGAAACCGTCCCCATCGAAGCAGTTTATAGTACGGATGAGATCCTCATGTCTACAACTGCTGGAGGCATCATGCCCATTACCACCCTCGATGGCAAGCCGGTTAACGACGGAAAGGTTGGAGACATCACCAGAGCCATCTGGGATGAGTACTGGGCAATGCACTATGAAGACAAGTTTAGCTTTAAGATCACTTATTGAGTCGGTAAACATAACGACCGTAGTTGTGGCATAGCTACAACGCTCGAATTGAAGCCTATCGCGTTGGCACATTTACACCCACTCCTTTCTAGAGTAAACTTGTGCTTTTCATCTTTTCCTGATGGCTGTTTATCAACCCATGAGCACGAGCCCTAGGATCGATGGCATGTAGTTTCACGTCGATGCCTAACTTAATATTCTTAAGGATCGCCATATATGTAAAAGACTCGACCTGCTTAGATTCTTCGGAGTGCATGACACCAAAGCATACGTGTCTGCTGACGTTGAACCCAGCGGTTGCCAATCGGCCCTTCAATTGCATCGCCCAGAGTTCGCATGCAGCATCAGCGTATACCTACTTTGCTACTCCATTTTAACCCGTCTGAATTAGGCAATAAGCCTATGTCTGGATTGGGACGATGGCCTATAACTGATCCCTGAAACGTCAATATGGTAAGTACCTCAATTGAATCGTGGACGCCACGTCATGGAATAGATACCCGGAAGTCACCGTATATGCATGTTGTGTGGTATAGATACCATGCCCTTCACAAATTGACCAAGAATCACCGCACCCCGTGGCCTTCATTGTAATGCTCAAGATTGGGAGGTCTACCGTCATGGCAACTGAAGAAAGCATTGTCATCATTGGGTAAGTTTCAACGTTTCCATCATACACTCATGTTTATCCCATGCTGATCTCGCGCAGTGCAGGCATTATCGGCCTTGATGTGGCCTTAGTGCTTGCAGAGAAGGGACTCGGGCCATTCATTACAGTTGTCGCCGAGTACCTGCCAGGCGATACTGCTTCCACGTATACATCACCTTGGTGAGTAGACTTCCTCGACTCGCGCGGTGAAGCTGACAGAAGCCCAAGGGCTGGATGCAACTTCTCGGCCATATCAGGTACAGACCCCAACGCCCTCAAATGGGACAAGGCGGGGTACCTTCACCTCCAAAAGCTTGCAGCCTTTGATTCACGCAATTCCTTTGTGCGAAGAACGCCATCAGTCGAGCTATGGGATGATAATGTTCCTCACGAAAAAATCAAAGCAATGTCCGAATATCTCCAAGATGTAAGGCTCTGGTATTTCTAGCGATTTCAACTTGACTAACATTGAGACTCGGAAGTTTCGGGTATTGCGGGATGATGAGCTGCCACGAGGAGTCCAGTTTGCTGCTTCATTCACAACTTTGACTGTGAATGCTCCAAAACACTTGCTCTACCTTTATCACAAATTGAAGGATGAGTATGGCGTGCAATTTGTGAGACGAAAACTCCCCGATATACAATCAGCGTTTACAAACGAGTCTACCGAGATCGTTTTCAACTGCACTGGGGTTGAAGCCAGAGTCCTACCGGGAGTCCAAGATTCTAGATGCTACCCAACTCGCGGCCAAGTTCTCCTAGCCAAAGCCCCGGAGGTCAAGACAAACATCATGAGGCATGGAAGGGACTATGAAACCTACGTGATCCCCCGGCCATACTCTGGCGGCCACGTCATTCTAGGAGGCTATATGCAGAGGGGCAATGAGTATTCTTGCATCTCTTCCGGGTAATGAACATTTCCGCTAACGCTAGATTCAGAGACGGTGCTACGTACTCCCACGAAACCGATTCCATTCTCAGCCGTACGAAGGATCTCAGTCTTGAGGTGAAAGACTTTGATCTCGACGTGATTGCTGCATTTACGGGGCTTCGACCTTCCCGAGAGGGTGGTGCTCGGGTAGAGCGAGAGGGCATAGTTGTTGCAGGGCTCGATCGCGCCGTTATACATAACTACGGTGCAGGAGGCACTGGATTCCAAGCAGGTTACGGGATGGCTCTGGATGCTGTCCATGCTGCCGAGCCCCTCTTGTTGGAGCTGAGGCGCCGCGATCGGGCAAAGATTTGAGGCTGGTCAGGATACTATGGTTGAGACTTCTCCAATATCCCTATATTTACTCCTCGTTGCCTTCCAACGGATATCGTTTCTCAGTATTGTTTCCATGTCTTATCACGATGGGATTTGCAAAATCGCTCTTCTTGGATCTCAAGATGGTTGCTCATTAGTTAGTATTGAGCACGAGGTACTAAACACACGCTCTGTATGAGTGGAATCCTGATGGAAATTGCATTCCATATGATATTATTCACAGTACACACATAGATAGCCAAAGTTCCTCAGGTACGGTAGAATCAAATGATTTGAAACAGCGTCAAGTTTTATTGGTGACCTGTTCCATCCTCAATTTCCACCTATGTCAATGAAAAATACAGTACGTTGCGATCAACAGTTGTCATCTGCCATGTACTTCGTTGTCACAATCATGTATCATTGCTTACAAAGTTCTAGCTCAAACTTTAAGAAGGAAACTGAAGGGAATGGCAACAATAATCCACCATGTTTCGGTTGAAACCTTTGGCTTGAAAAGCGAAGGCAGGCGGTCAGAGCTCGTCTCTTGCAGTCTATGACGACCCCGCAGCCTTTCAGATTTCATCGAGTCGTTTTTCGCCCGGGGTTGGATGGAAATCTGCTCCACATGTAGCAAACGTCCTTTGACTCGTACTTCCTCTTTCAGTATTTCCTTTTCAGGTAATTAATTCCTTGAAGTCCCGCCACTATGCGAAACTCAGGGAGGTTCCGAGAAAAAGCATCGACAAATGCCAGGTATTGTCAACTCATATGAACTTGAACCGCGAACCAAACTCCCGCCTTATTGATGTACCGCATGTCCAACGCCGGCTATTTCAGACAAGCCTCACTTTTTCATGAAGAACCATTAACGTGCTATCGATTTCGCTGTTATCAAGCATTAATTTCTAGCGTCGTTGCAAGTTTCTCAAACAGTCACCGCACGACATGTCGCCTCTTCCCCCAACTGTTCAGAGGTCAATCGCAAACACGAAAGTAGACTATCGAATTCTTGGAGAAAGTGGCCTCAGAGTTTCGGTCCCCATCGTGGGTTGCATGAGCATAGGGAATCCTGAGTGGGCGGACTGGGTGATCGGGCCCGAGAGAGCTTTGCCACTGCTGAAAGCAGCATACGATCGAGGTGTCAATACAGTGCGTGTCATGGACCACGGGTGTTACACAAAACTAACATTGTAGTCAGTGGGATACAGCAAACATCTATTCGAATGGAGATTCCGAAAGAGTCATTGCACAGGCAATCAAAGAGTACGACATACCGCGTCACAAGCTGGTTTTGATGACAAAAGCTTGGAGCTGCGTTGGGGAAGAGCAGTTTCACGCATACCCAATTCTAGATGAGCTCCGGAAAGCCAAGGACTACGTGAACCAATTCGGTAAGGAGTTCCGCAAGTTCAGCACATTATTCATAATGGTACAACATTTGCTGATCAGTAGAAGGCTTGTCGAGGACGGCGATTTTTACGGCTGTAGAGAACTCACTTCGGAGGCTCGAAACAGACTACATCGACGTCTTTTGGATTCATCGATTCGATCCTTACACGCCGATCGAAGAGACAATGCGTGCTCTTCATGATTTGGTGACTGCTGGAAAGATTCGGTATCTTGGCGCTTCATCGATGTGGGCCTATCAATTTGCTATGATGCAGTTTTGCGCAGAAAAGAATCGTTGGACCAAATTCGTTGCAATGCAGGTAAGTGCCAGCGACGAACTACTTATCACACCATGGAATTTGACATTAAGGGGGCATCAGAACTCGTACAATTTGCTTTACCGTGAGGAAGAGCGAGAAATGAACAAATTTTGTAGAGAGACGGGTGTAGCTATTATCCCAGTGAGTCACGTATTATTGGACCTTGCGTGGTTCTTAGGTTAACGAAAAGTGATACGCTAGTGGGGTCCTCTGGCTGCCGGACAACTTGCTCGTCCTTTGCTGTTGCAAGGTACGACTGCAAGGTCTGCTGGCCAGGGTGAGAATTCGACAGGACTTCGTCCAGCATCTGCAGAGATCATCAACCGGGTGGAAGCTCTCGCACAACAGAAGGGATGGACAATGAGTCAAATTGTATTGGCATGGATTCTGAAGCGAGTCACGAGCCCTATCATTGGATTCAGTAGTATTGAAAGGCTTGAAGAGGCTTTATCCGCGCGTGGGAAGGAACTCACGGACGAAGAAGAGAGGTATCTCGAAGAGTTATATGTGCCGCTTGATGTGGAGGGTCACTTCTGAAGAAAAACAGACGTAGTGTTTACATGAGATACAATACAATGCTGTACTGGTAGTATTCCTTCCATCACAAAGTTTGATGGGGTAGCCTTCCACTTATTATGCTTCGAATCATAAGGCTTCTCTGACCCCTCGTCCATCAATACTTGCAGAAACCTTTCTACAAGCCTGGTCTCGGGCGATCCCATTCGAGACTCTACCATTGACAAACAGCAAACGTTGGTAACAATACGTGAAAAAGGCAGGAACGAAATATTCGGACTTGTGGTGAACATAATTGTGTTAGATTTCACTCGGTTAGCTCGAGCTGAACTTCAAAGGATTCCGAGCAATGATCAAAGTAAAATCTTTCATCACCGATGCCAGAATCACAAAGTTGCTTGAATACTCAGTACAACACTGAATGAATTCATGCAATCGAGGTGGAAGTTTCCATCGATGCACAGTAGTAATTGTACAGTAAATGGGCCAAAAACTGTGAGATTCGGTAGCAACCTGTTTTAAAGCTTCCATAGACTTCTTCCATCATGTGATGTCTGCAGATTGACCTTCAATGACAGTCAGATCTTCAAGCTCGATCAAAGCTGATGAAAACTTCCTGGCAGAAGTTTTGCGTCTGAAAAGGTAATCAATCTCCTCAAATGTGCGGTTTTTTGTCTCTGGTAGACACAAAAAAGCCCAAATGAATAACAGCGTGCCCAGGCCGCCAAACAGAAACCCAATTTTACCGCCCCAATTTCCCTCAGTCGGACTCATAGCGTAGGGAAGTCCAGCTGTGATCGACAGAGAGAAAATGTGGGAAACAGAAGCTGCCACACCTAACGTCTGCCCTCGGATCTTTGTACTCGGAATCTCCGCT